AAGGAAAAATCAACTGGAAAATTTAAATAACAATGACGCGATACTTTTTTTAATTTATATGGGTGAACCATCACTACGCAATTTCTAACCGCGGCATTTGTTTCGTTGACATTTTTAAACTTCCGTTGGCCGGGCAATTATAACTCCAACAAATAAACAAATTCACCGTTACAACGACGTTGTTGCATGGCTAATTTAAAAAAAAAAAAAAAAAAAAAAAAAAAAAAATATCGGAGACAAAAATATAAAATATAAACCAACAATGTATTATCGCGTTACGATTTCGGTTCGAATTTTACCTTTTTTTAATTACTATTTCCAAAACCGACAATAATACGAAGAATGGATTTACGATTCCAATGTTTAAATTTGCCATCTCGAATTCTCGTCGATTAGATTATCGGGAGAGAATGAAATTCTTCTTTCGCGGATAGCGTAATATACGCGGCACGAGGAAACAACGAGAAGAATCTCTTTTTTAAAGAGCACTCGGAACGATAAATTGCACCATCGGTGCAAATACAGCCAAGGCAAGAGTTGGTGAGCGTCCCAGTGCACACACCCTTGCAATTTATCGACGTATATAAGCTTCGCCATATCAGCCCTATTAGACCTGTTAACGATGTCAGATCAGATTTCATTACTTCATTCCGTCGGAACGAGTTGCGACCCCGTTGCTCTTCCATACCTATATACTCCCATACTTCTTGCTCGAAGACAAAAAAAGGGAGGAGGGCAAGCGTACAGTAAAACACGAGAGGAGGACGAAGAAGGGGTGGGGAAATAGAAGAAAGAAGGTTCGAACAGAGTAGCCGATGATAAAAGCAATTAATTAAGACTCGAAACCCCCCTCCCCCTCTGCCGCTTTTTTCCCCTCGCATCCACCCTCTCTCCGCCGCCCTCTCTCTCTCCAAAGAGGGCCCTCGTTTGTTTCTCGCTCTTTCTCCTTCCCTTCTTTCTCCTTCCAGTAAATCCAAAGGTGCTCAAAGGTCGATTCTAAGTCCGTCCTCTTCCGGCGAAAACGAGTCGAACCGACGTGACGCGACGTATCCATTATGGGACAAGTGGGCCACGTCTTGGAATAATGGAACGGCCATGATTTTGTGAGTTTATCGTCACTCGTCACGTGACGCGGAAATGCAGCAGGATCCCACGCTTAAACGGGTCGAGGGTGCTCGCGCTTAGGCTCGTAATTAAAACACGCCGGAACTTAATGTTTCCTACTCTACGAGGGCTTTGAATTAACTAGTCCCCGCGCGAAGGTGCCGCGCCTATGGCATAGTCAAACCTCTGCCGGCAAGGGAGGAGGAGGAGGAGGAGGAGGAGGCGTTCCTTCAAATTTTGACAGCTCTTAACTAAATACGGGACGTTTATCTTATACGCGAGGTAGAAGGAGGAACGAGGATCGTGAAAACTATTCGAAGGAAGAGAAATGGCGAGGGTGGGTTGCGGAATTACGAGGGTCAAACGAAAACTCTCTCGAGGCGTGAAAATAATTACCAGCTACTTTATTCCTTTATTGGTCGGTCACGTTCCTTTGGAGGAAGGGATGGAAGTAGATCCGGTAAGAGTAACGAGCACCGCCCCGAGCTACCGAGGAGGGTCTCGAGACTCCCCAAACTCCCGTTCGAGGCGTTTTATTATTGCGAAAAGTTATTTCAAGGTTCGTCGTAGTTTCCGGGTTTCGTAGTAGTGGCGAGATAAAAGAAAAAGAGAGAAAAAAAAGGGAGGAAGGATCCCAAGGAAACGAAGTTTCCCTTTACCGTCGAGATTCGGGTAGTGGAATAGTAGACAAGCCTCTTGGAGAAAAACTGGTGGAAAGATTATTTTAAAATAATAATAGGATCGGGCGGCCCGGTTCAAAAGTTCCACCATCGTTGGATGGTGAAATTATGCCGATAATGAGAAATAGCCGGAGCAGTATCACGCGTCGAAAATGAACGTCGAAAGAGGAAAGTTCGTGTAGCGACCATTTTTCGTTCTTCTCTCTCTCTCTCTCTCTTTCTCTCGATGTTCGACACGTCCAACTTTTCCGCTAACGAATTTATAATTTTGTCGCTGGAGAAGTGAACCGCGTATATAATTTCACGCATCACGAGTCCACGGTGTCGAGCGTTTCGTGTAATTCCCTCTCGACGTCCCGTTTTTCAGTTTCCCTACTTTTTACTCGTTGAAAAATGTTTATTCGATCGAGCGAGAAGGTATGGAAGAAGAAAGAGTTCTCTACGTTTCGCCGTAGAAAGTCGGGAGGGAAAGTTTCGTCAAGTGTTTAATACGTTGCGATTTCTCTTCTTAACCTTTCCAGAATGAAAATCTTCTCTCCTCTTCGTCGAATCTTGTCGAGCGAAGGCGATTCCGTTTCGTAATTCCAATTTTCCTTCGAAAACTCAAAAATTGAATCGAGAAATTCGCGAAACGACTGGCACGATCGGTATCCTTAGACTCTTGGAGCAAAGAACGAAAGGATAGGCCAATTTATCATCCGGATAAAGAAATCACAATGGGTCCCTCTTCGTCGACCCAATAGTTGGATAGTGTGCTGCTTCGAAACCTGGAAAACTCGGACGGCGACCAAGCGAGACAATGAGATAAGATTTCCAAAAGTTGTATACGTTCTGACCGAGATATCCGTATGAAAATAGCCGGAACGGAAGTCGCATGGAGTCGAGAATAGTTGGCGGGTAAATACAAACGTTGACTGCGGAACCTTTTAGAAAAGCGAATTAAAATTTTTTTTATCGAGATATACACGCTCCTATACACGTTCATTCCTCTCTTTTACCGTTTCGTTACTTTTCAAAGCGGAGCGCGGAATAGCAATTTTATTCGAACGAAAGGCCGAGCTTCTCTAACAAATACAGACTGATGATTCTCCGCGCAAAATTATCCAGGAAATCTGCTTATCGAACTTCAGTTTTCAATTTGCTCTCGTGTTGCTTCCAATTATTGTGCGAAACTCTAGTACTTTGCAGCTTTTAGTTTTTAAAAAAAACATCAAACTGATTCTCCTGGCGAAAAATGTTATTATCCGTTCCCTTTTTCTCTTTCTTTCTCTCTCCTATTTTCGAAATCGCGTTTCGCATTCTACTATCTCGTGCCCGGAAATATAATTTTGCAAATAGGATTTTTTTTTTTTTCCCCCTCCAGGTCTCATTACACCGATGGGAAAAAATTTTTTCTTTCCATCGTATATAATACCGTTCCATTATTCGTTACGGATGAATTTCGCTCGAATTGTTTGAAATCTGCACTGGGATAAAATGCATCGAATCCGAGTGTACGGATTATTAGCTTCAAGCTTTAACGCCCCCTCGTGTCGTGGTACGATCTTGGCGAAGCGATTTCTACCGTAAGATCGAAACGACGTTGCCAACTTTCCGATAGTTGAATCCTGGTCAATCGGTGAAATACGTAAATGAGATAATCAGGCGTAATTAACAAGCAAGTTTGCCGCTATAATATTTCGCTTTAATTGTAATTAAAGCCAACCGTGTAAAACGAACTCGACTGTGAATTTAATCAAATCGCGATCATGAACGTGTCAATGAACCCGCAAAGTAATCGAATTAACGGAACGAGGAGGGATTAGTTTAATGAGTTTTTACGATAAAAGTGACAACGGCGTCGAGATATCTCCAACGTCCGTTGGTCGTTTTTCGGATAAAGAAGATTTCGCTCCACAATTTTTATCGCCATTTTAACGATCTTTCGCAAATATGCGTACACGTTTCGAGGCGTGTTCGAGGCAAAGCACGTTCGCGTATCGAAACGATGTATGTCGAGGAACAATTTCCATTTGGTGGAAATTAGCGTGGTGGAAACGTGGTGGTGGGCACGTTCTCAAGGCGAGGCAAGACAAACTGAACGAAAGGACTAATCGAGAAAACTTGTTACTCTCCACGGGGCCGTTTCATAAGCCGGGAATGCGCGCGGCTTAATTTCAACCATTTTCAACGTATTAATACCCAGCGGATTAACGTCGGTAGAAAGTTGCGTATTTCCTCGAGTAACTCGTTGCTCGTTTGGTTCCGCTAGTTACAACGTAACAGCTTCGAACAAATCCCAATTCAATGATTACGAAAGTAGTTATAAACCTTAATGATTTTTCCGCCATTTCAAATTGTAAATACAGGGGGAGGAATTCTCACGACATCCTCGATTTCGTGAATTGGAATCGCGTTCGACGACGAGTGCGACAAAAAAAAAAAAAAAAAAGAATACAACTTTTCGTTCCCTCGAGAACGTAACGGAAATCTATACTTTTCAAATATAATATTTCTTGAAATTCGAGAGCGAAAACACGATTGCAACAGCATCGCGACACGAATCCTCCAAGATTAAACTTCAACAAACAGTATCCAACCATGAACGCGTGTAGCGTCGACAATAGCGTAAACGGGGTGCGAAACGTAGAGTAGAGATCGCGTTGGTGGAAGTCGAGTTGGGGCGTCGAGAGAGGAATAGCGGTCGCGCTTCATTCCGGAGAGGAGGAGGATCGCGCCCGACTTCTATATACGTATCTGAGGCGCACCACGTCGCGCCACTTCGCGTAATTAGTTTACGTGATCGATATTAACCGAGGGGGAACCGACCACCATGCGAGTCGACGACCGTGTCTCGTTTTCCATCGAAAAGCAAAACTTATACCTCTCTCTCTCTCTCTCTCTCCCTCTCTCCCTCTCCTCCCCTTCTTTCCTCTCTCCCTCCCTCCCTGTCCACTGTTCCAAGCTAGGGCCAACACAGACAGCTGACTTATGAATAATGCATACGACGAATTCGAGTCGCACGCACCCGTGCACGCCGGTAATTCCATTAGGCGTGCCATTTTGCTGCCCGATCGGTGTTACGTTCTCGATCGAATAACTTCTACCCGGCCGTTGGATCGGCCGGTTAAATCTCGCCCCGTTAAACGTCGAGAGCTCGAGACGATCACGAGCTTGTTCTCCGCCTTCGATTTTCGGATTCGAGTCCCTGCTTAATAACCGGATTAATAATTTTACCTTCCGTACACATGAAGAGTATGGCAGCAATGGACAGCCTCGCCTGCCACCTCAAAGCCATGTCCGCGATTGTTTGGTAAACGCGTTCACTTCGATACCGTGTGCGATTCACATCCTCTTCGTTAAACGACGTCACCACGTCCAACCACTGACGGCGGCTAATCCTTATCGCGGCCGCGTCGACATCGCGGGAAATGGTAAAGGTCCACGACGCTCGTCACGCTCGATAAACACGAGCGAGAGTTCCGACGAGCCGAGGCGGGCAATCGGCAGATTATTAGAGTTCCGTTTCAATCGCCACCACGCGCCGCGCTTCGATTTTCCGTCCTCGTTTACGTTTCCCATAAAATTGGCTGCGAGAAACGTCGTCTTGGTCTCGGAGGGTCGGCGAGATTAATAATTGGAACGAATATCGAAACGAAAACGGTGGAGAAACGCCGGATCGACGGTCGATGAACCGAGTTTTTCGAGTGGCGCGAGAAAAGAAAAGGCGGGTCGTCGGGTAAGTGCACGGATTTCGCGGAAGCATTCAACACCGCGATTCTTCGATCCGTCGATCTACCGCCTGGTAACTGGACGTCGGGCAACCTCCAATCGGGAGTCGTATCGATCCTTGAAAATCGTTCCTCTTCCTCCACTTTCGAAGGAGCGGGGAGGCGAAATTTACGTCGTGCGAAGGAACGTTAACGGGGCGACGTTTTTCATTCCATGTCGGAGGCGAGTCTTGGCCCGCTCGGGGCCTCGTCGTGTTTTCCTCTCAGGGGTGCTACGGTTAAACGAGAGCGTCATTTATCCCACCGATAATGTGGATAGAACGGAAGAACGTCGTTAACCGTGGCTCGAGACCTCTCCCCCCTCTCGATATCGTGGCATGTTAAAAGTTCGACGCACTTGCTACCACCCGCGAATCTCGGTCAAAAGCGAGGCGAAGATTCCTCTCGCCCCGGAACTGGCCCCGTTCAGGTCCTAATAAATCCCCCGTCCTGGGACCTGCAGTTTCCTATACAACGATCTCAACATTGTCACACGCGTTCCACAACTGTTCACGATCCTTCGATTCCATTCGCGATACGGATCCCCTTTTCCTCCCCTCGATCCTCCTCCGGTGTACACATGAGCACTATTCACACGGTGGCCAAGTCTGAGGGAACGTTCCTCGCGCGATCCTCCTCTCGTCGCTTCGCCTCATTTCGCACCGATTTCGCGCGGAATACGAATTTTCTTCGCGGGGGTGGGGAAAAAAAAAAAAAAAAGAAAGAGAGAAACTTTGGCGTCTATGTGCGCGACATGTTATATAGGACGAACGCGACACGCACCACGTCTTGATTCGGTGGCAGATTCACCCTGACTGGGGTGATTCTTGGCCGTGGGAGCATGCGCGCTTCCGATCCACCTCCTGTGATGGTGGAAACGCGCAGAGGGTCCACGAACAGGGGTCCGCGCACACGTATAACCCTCTCTGGCACACAGAGAGCGGAGCGTGGCACATGCACGAACGCCACGAACGCGGACCAGCCTCACCGACACGAGGCTGGGTCAACGTGGGTGTAGTGTTAAGGGTAGCTCGCGTCGGTCACGACGCGTCGCGACGTACGGCACTGTGTGTCACGGACAGAAAGTGTGGCAGGGCGTGCAACGAAAATCGAGGTACCAAATCTACGATACTGCTCGCTCGAGTAGGGAAGGAACCCTAGGAGAGGAACCGGATAGGCTTCGACATTCGGTCGACGTGTCTCTTCTCTCTTGCTCCATCACCCCCTTGATTGCGCTCGGATGTAACGATAGTCACCTCCTCCCCTCTCCATATCACCGCCATCGTTACCACACGATATGCTAATACGCTTTGCGTATATATACGATTATAGGAATGATAAGTAAACCGGTTTGATCGTTGGCCCTCTCTTTTATCGGGACGCGTGCAATTTCCTTCCTTCGCTCTTTTATTTTCGTCCTCCCCCGTGTGACGAGACCGAGAACAGTGACCTCCGGTGCGGCCGAGAAGACCGAAAGTCTCGTAAACGCTTTCTCGTTTAAAGAGACTTCCCCGGCGTTTTTAACGAACTCGTTCCAAGTTTTCCATCCTCGACATCGAGATTGATTACTTCAACGAGGGGGGAGGAGGAGGAGAAGGAGGAGGAGGTGGAAAAGAAAAAAACGGTTGAAACAGCAGGAAGCCGAGGAAGGAGGAACCAGGGACGGCGATATTTTTCAACGTGGCACGGGGTGTTTTCCCGTTTTTCGATCGCATAAATCTTCCGTGGCGATCATCGAGCATGTTATTAATGCATGTCATTAGGGCGGGGTACACGAACTCGGAACACGCGAGTGGATAACGATAGGAATTACACGCGATACCGGTGATTAGCCGCACTCGACTATCTATTTGTCGTAAAAAATAATTTCACGGATGGATAAAGCGGACGGTGTGCGCTTTATTGTCCAATTTGCGCGGATCGATCATCGTAAGATCGACGAGTATCGCGACGTGTCGGTTGGACGTCGCTCGCGCGAAATCTCGAAATCTCTGTGGATCGAAAACCCGCTCGAACGGGTGTTTCGAGTTTCTCTTTTAGGCCGATTTTTCAACGTTGAAACGACGAAAACGGTATCCTCGGTATCGCGCGTTGAATAAAACGGGAAAGGATAGGTGAAAAAAAAAAGAAAGAAAGAAAGAAAGAAATCTGCTCGCCATCTTCTAATTTTCCGCGCGTGACGCGCGATCGGATATCGGTCGAGCCGCGGTTTATTCGACATTGTAGGAACTTGCATAATGCAAGTATACGTTCCCTGGGGGGTGTAACATTTCGACAGAGATCGGTATGGAAAGGGAAACAAATGACATTATCTCGTGTGCGTCTCGAGCTTAACGACCATATGGCAAAGTTTGATGGAATCTACTCCGTAATCCACCGCTTTGTGAAATATTTCCACGGAAATTTTGCGCATATGCAATGGGACGTAATAACTTTTGCTTTCCACGCGATGAATACACACGTTTGCGCGAGTTAAAGGAGGAAAATTATGGGCCGATGTCGGTGTAATTCATTCGGACGTACGGCAAATTCGTAAATCTCGACGACTCGAAAAATGTTGATTGAAATTTCGTCGACGTTTCCGCATAATGACAAAGATTCGTTCCCTTTGATCCGAGTTCAAATTCCAATCTGTCGAAATTTTTCGAGCGAAGTCGAATATTGAAAAAAAAAAAGAAAAAAGGAAAAAGGATATCACCTCGGACGCGTATATAAATTTCAAATCTATATAATATAATTTGAGATTAATAAAATTCGTATCACGTTCATTCAAAAAATAAAAAAAAAAAAAAGCGAAGGAAACCTTAGCGACGTACAAGCTTCCGTACAAGCCAAAGTTATAAATAACGTTTTGCGTGACGAGCGTGCCTTTGCAGACGCGGGACCATTCATCAGCAACGCCTCGCACGTGAACTCTCGCCGATAACGACGCCCTACCGACTCGATCGGTCGATGAAAGGGGATGCCTGACGAACGTTAACCGCGAATCAGTCGCCTCGTCGCCGAATCTCGTCGATTCCGTTCCATCGGCCAATAGTTTCGGGGGAGGCCTACCGGTTGCCAGTTACGGGAAATAAATGGAAAGTAAACAAAACGAAACGAAGCTTGGTCGATCGATCCCTTTTACGTTCTTAATTGTCGTACAAAAAAACTCACCCTTCTCTCTCTCTCTCTTTTTCTCTCGATCCAATCTCTCTCCAATTTTTTCCCCGACGTTCATCGACAAACATCGCGTGTAACTTCATTTCGATCTCTATCCTCTCCGCTCGTGATTAAACACTACGAATCACGGACGAGAGTCGACCTAATCGATTTAATCGTTTTCCTCTTCTTCCTCTTCTTCTTCGTCAAAGATTTTCACAAATTTTCCCGTACAACTTCCACTTTATCGCATTTTCCACGAATGGTCCAACGTCCATAAACACGGGTGTAAACCTCGACCCGTTTCCACCCAATCCCATTTCGCAGCAAGCGGTCGATCCACGGACCGAGCCACGCATCGCAAATTAACGGGACGATAAAATTCGGCCGAGAGAGTTATTTATTCCGAAAATAGGCGACCATCTCTCCGCAACAGAGTTATCCACACCCTCGTGTGTCGCGGCTGTAATCGTCCTCCTCTCTTCGCGAGAAGACACCCCTAATCTCGAACGAGCGTGCGACCGACGATTAAGCTCTAGAGTAAAACTCGCGGAACCCGTGCATAAGTTTTCTCGAGAACGAGGCTCGATAAACCGAGCGATAATAACGGTGCACGTGTGTGCCTTTCGTGTGTGCACACGAAATCCGGAGGAAGCGAGGAGAAGGCGGATTAGTTAGGCGGTTAGTTGCCTGTCGAGGCAAACGTTTGTCTCCCCGGTAAAAAAAAAGTCTTCGACCTTGTTTTTTACGCGACACGCCGAGATTTTCGATATTTCGAAATTGATGCCGATAACGAGCTCCCTCCCTCCTCACGAGAATTCTCTTCTACCTTATTTTATCGGCGCGACGCACGAACATTTCCGCACGAAATTGAAAAACACCGAGCTGGATTCGCGTGAATTCTTCACGTTCGCAACGATAGTTCACATTCACTCTCGTCGTTTTCCAAGTTTTCGAAATTGAACGAATTTTTTGAAATGAAACGAATTGAAATTCGTTCGAATACAAATTCAATCGAATACATCCGATCCTCGAGCTTTAAATGATTTTGCGAGTAGCGGCGTGAGGACGCGGTCAAGCCGATTTCGAATTAGGGAAAGTTTCGGCATTCTTATGAAACATTGACAGGAAAAGGATAGGAAGGAAGGAAAGTAAATTTGTTTCCTGCCTTTCTTTGACCGTTCCACCCCAGTGGAATTAATTCCTCTAGTAATAATCGATCCTGGAAGGGAACGAGGATAAAATCGTGCTCGTAAATTGGACTCGTTAAACAGTTACATTTAGTATACATTTGATTCATCGTTAATTGTCGTAACGTTCCAGCTATAAAGCTGATCTACTTACTTCTTAATTCGTGGATAATCCCGAAGAAAATAACCAGGATATTTATCGCGAGAGTGCAAAGTGCATTTGAAAATATCGAAGACACATTTTGTATCGTTGTCTCATCGATATGATATTTTCTATTTAAACAGCCAGTTCTATAACACTTCGCGCTCCAACCGATAATTATTATAAATATTCGTTTCCTTCTTTCATGGCTCGTTCATACTTTAATATAATATATAATATAATCCTCATAGATACACGTTACGTTCCTTCACCAAAGCGATCGCAAGTTTTCGTCTTGCACAAGCGTGTTGCAACTCGCGAGTTTCGCTCGCGTCCCACCCGAAACTCCGCAGCCTCTAATCCCGCCGCTAAACGAAGTGTATCTCAGCGCGGAAACGGGGTCGGGCGAGTTCTTGTTAATCAACCGGCCGACTCGAAATGAACCAGCGGCTCGCAGGGAAGCGCGAGCCTCGATTGATGGGAAACTTGCATTCCGATAGATACGTGCATCCGTGTATCCGTCGGCGTGGATAAAACGGAGCACGCAGGTTGTAAGGATCGCCGATATCGGCCAAGTGGCGGTACAGTTTTCGTCCCTTCGATTTTTCGATCCTCCCGATTTTTCTCTCCCTCGACTGGATCGGATTCAAAAAAGGCTGCCCGTGGTATTCAGTTTGTTAACCGAGCGGAGGAGAACTTTGCAAACAGTCAACCTAAATTCGTTCCATCCGGATCATTGACCCTTTCATCTGGGTTTGATCTGCGCTTCCGAATTATTCTTTTTCTAAGTTATAAAGATCGGTACGAGTTCGTCGGTGGTAAGATTTTATTTTATTTTATATTAATTTTTATTAATTCTCGAGTTAAAAAGCTGTTGGGGAAATTGTATATTTATCTTAAGTAAGTTGCAACAAATATTCTCATACAAAATTCATGATTCTCGCGTGACTTGTGAATGAACTTGTGTATGTGTATTTTTCAACCCCTTTAAGTTTTAAATTTATACGCGGCAGAAGTAATGTTCTTTAATGCCATGTTTAATCCAATTGTTATCCGCGCGTAAAAATAGCCCGTCGAAATCAAATTTGTCTTCACGGCGAAAAGAGGAAAAAAAAGAATTCGATTTACACGCGTAGAAAAATCTACTATTTTAAAAATTTCATCTAGAGAAATTGGAATTCGGTTCGCGTGTTTTTTGACGATCAGTTCCTTTACCCTTCCCCGCTCTACTCCCCCTGTTCTATTATTCA